GCCAGAGCAGCATGCCAGATGCCCTGGAACTGGAGTTACAATTGGTTCTGAGCCCCAGTGTGGGTGCTGGGAGTTGAACCTGGACCCTCTGAAATAGCAGTGAGTGCTATTAAGCCCTGAGCCACCTCTCTTGGCTATCTTTTTAATACAGTCCAGTACCACTTCCCTGAGAAAAGTTGCCACACACAGTGGGCTGGGCCCTCCTAATTCCTTGAAAAATCAAGACATTCTTTGACAGACATGCCTAGAGACTAGTCTGATGTCTAGCAATCTAGCAATTCCTCAACTGATGCTTGTCCTCTCAGATGACTCTAGGTTGTGTCAAGTTGACAATTATGGTTAACCAGGACGTCAGGTTTTACCTACTTCCGCTTTGAAAATTATCTTTTACTTTCTTTAAATTTGTCATTTTTACTTTTCAAGATGCATATCAGCTCATTAAATTCAAGACTTCCCCCCAAAGGAAGCATGCATAGTTATAAATACTCTGAAAGTATTGTTTTAAGTGTATACCACAATTTTTTGGTATTTTAATTCCTGTGTTTTATGTATTCAAACTTCCGTTCTGATTTCTTCTGTGCTATGTGAATTACTAAGTTAGCATAGTGTTCCATTTCCAAACATTTGACCTTGATGTAGGTTGGTTTAACACACTTAGTCTAACCTTCCTAATGATTTGACCCTTTACTACAGTTCCTCATATTGTTGTGACTCTTAACCATAAAATTATTTTTGTTGCTACTTCATAACTATAATTTTGCTACTGTTAGGAATTGTTATGTAAATATCTGTGTTTTCTTATGGTATTAGGTGACCCTTGTGAAAGGGTCATTTGACCCCCAAAGGGGTTGCAACCTTAAGGTTGAAAACTGCTGGTCTAATACATGCACCAGTTAATAAGTCTATGCTTAGGAAGAACACATATGTAGATGTTGTCATCAGGATACCACATGTAATGTGGATGTTTAGGGGGTATCCTCCTCTCCCTTTCTATCCTAGTCTTTGAGGCAGGGTCTCTCACTAAATCTGCGGCTCACCATTTCAGCTAGAGTAACTGTCTCCTGGGATCTGCCTGTCATTCCCTCGCCCCACCCCACCCCCTCCATCCCAGTGCTTGGGTTATGGACATGCCCGAACTCGGTTTCCTAATGCTTACTCAGAAAACACTTTACTCACCGAGCCAACTCCCAGACACATTTCTTACTTTATCTTCAAATTTTTACACGGTTGTCCTACAAACAGAACTTATTTGGATTTTAAACGCTGCACCTAGGTTGGGCGGTGGTGGTGCATGCCTTTAATTCAAGCACTCGGGAGGCAGAGGCTGGTGGATCTCTGTGAGCTTGAGACCAGCCTGGTCTACAAGAGCTATTTCCAGGACAGCTCCAAAGCCACAGAGAAACCCTGTCTCAAAAAACAAAAACAACAACAAAATAAAATAAAAAAATAAAAAATGCTGCACCTAGTTCATTTATCATTTTAGCCAGAAATCCCTTAGCTTTGCCTTCATTCTTAAATCAGTTCAGACACAGAAATGTAGGCTACCAGATATTGTTTTCCTTACTTTCTTTATTTTTTTATTATATTTTAAATTTTTTATTAGTTTATTTTTTTACATTCCATTCAGTTCCCCCTCCATTCTGCCCTCCCACTCCCTCCCCTGCCCCCCCTCCCACCGCCCATCTGTTCCTTGAAGAGGGTAAGGCCTCCCCTAAGAAGTCTACTAATCTGTCCCATCATCTCATTGAGGCAGGACCAAGAAACCTCTCCCCCCTCTACACCCCCATGTCTAGGCTGAGCAAAGTTATCAATTCCATGTAGAATGGGCTCCACTAAGTCAGTTTGTGCATAGAGTTAGGTCTTGGACCCACTGCCAATGGCCTCATATATTATCCCAGTCACACCATTGTCACCTATATTAAGGGAGTCTAGTTCAGTCTTATGCAGAATCTCCAGTTGTCAGACCTGAGTCAGTAATCTCTTACTAGTTCAGGTCAGCTGATTCTGTGGGTTTCCCCATCATTGTTTTCCTTACTTTCAAAACACTACCTCCTTGAGCTTCTACTTTACTTTGAGAAGGTTTCTAGGGTTGATCTAAACGGCATCAGGCCAGCAAGATGGCTCAGTGGAAAAAGATACCTACTGTGAAGGCTGATGACCTGTGTTTGACTCCTGGGACCCAAGATGAGAGGGGAGAGAATTGACGCTAGCATGTTGTCCTCTGTCCTTCACATGTGTGCCGTGGCATGCATGTATCCCCTTCACGTACATAATAAATAAATACATGTAATCAATGAATGAGTAAATATTCCTTTGGAGGCAATCTTCTTTTTCTTGGGTTGTTTCAATCTTTTTTTCCTGACTGTGGGCTCAATCTACACATCATTTAAACATCTCTTCTTTTCAACAGCCTCCGTGTTATGCCTTTCATCAATTCTTGAAAATTGTCTTAAGATAACTGCTACACATTCCTATTACTAAATTTTCTCAGTTTTTTAAAATAACCATTCCCTTTATTGTTTATGGTCTATACATATAGTCCTTTAAGAAAATTTACCTGTCAGTTTTCTTTCTCATCTTTCTGTTCTTTTTTGAAGGCTATAGTTCTTGGTAATCTAAAACCTAGGAGACTAAACTTTCTTTTGTCTTGTCTGCTCTCACCTCATGATGAACTGTGTGTAGAAGGGCTACCTAATGTGGGATTGGGGGTGACTCTCGGTGGCATTTTATGAGTGCAAGCTCCATAGTATGTTTGGCCATTTTGGATTAATTAATTGCCTTAAAGTTGTTGTGAGCTCAGGACTACACTCTCTTGCTAATGTTTGTGATTTATACTTCCTGGACTGACCAGGGAATATCAATTCATATCCTAAACATAAAGGTAACTTTCTAGGGGTGAAATCACAGGATAATGCCAGGTGTGGTGGTGCACACCTTTAGTCCCACCACTTAGAAGGCAGAGGAAAGTGGATCTCTGTGAGTTTGAGGCTAGCCTGGTCTATAAAACAAGTTCCAGGGCTGTTAACACAGAGAAACCTTGTCTCAAAAACAAAACAAAACAAAAAAACAAAAAGCAAAAAACGAAAAACCCCAAAAAACAAAAGAACCTCACCTCACCAGAGAACAAGCCCCGTAACATGTTTCCTTGCTTACCCTTTCATTTTAGTCATCTCCTCTAAGGGTTCTGGATGTATGGATGTGTAAGCGTCTTCACAACGGACACATAATCTCTAAGTTTTTTTTACCCCTTCAGTGTTACTGTTAAAACCAAACTCCTTATGTCTACCCCTGACCCTTGAGCAGTAATGAGTAACTGAAATCACCAGAGGCTTATGTATCATTTTTATGTTATTGAACTAAAATACAGTTGTCTGTTTTCATAAGACTGGTTTTAGTTTGAACTTATATTTGTCTTTTGAGGGATTCCTGGTAAGTTTTGTATAATATTTCCAAGTGTTTTTGACCTATTTTAAAACATTTCAGGTTATCCATCATGTTCTATAAATATAAGTCTCATTTTCATGTTTTTGTTTTTGTGGGAGGGTCAGATCTTACTTATGTGCCCAGGTTGGTCACCACATCACAACATGTTCTCCCAGTTCCTCTTTCTGACCTGAGTAGGGGATGTCCTTCTGTATATATGTTTCTCTTATTGGTTGATGAATAAAAACTGTTTGGCCAATACAGGCAGGAAGATAGGTGGGACTAGGAGACAAAGAGAATTGGGAAAGGTAGGCAGAGAAGAACAAAAGAGATGCCATGTAGCCAAGGAAGGAGTAGGTCCAGACCCTTCTCCAGTAAGATAAGACCATGTGGAAATACTTAGATTGATAGAAATGGATTAATAATTAAGAGAGAGCTAGTCAGCAAGAAGCCCTAGTCATTGGCCAACAGTTTTATAATTAATATAGTGTTTGTGTACCTTTTTGGAGCGATTCAGTTGTGGGACTTGGCGGGACAAGAAACTCCCAGCAACAAGTAGGATTCAATGTTTGTATTTCAACTGATATGACCAATCCTTTAAGACATATTAACTTCTTCTATCCTAATGTTCCTCACCAGAAAAAGGGGTTTCTTCTGAGGACAGTTTATACATATATGTGTCATGTGTGTACATGTGTAAGCCAGCATCTTCCTCTCTTACTACCAGCTAGTTTTTAAAAAAATCATTTATTTTTGTTTCATGTGCACTGGTGTTTCCCCTGCATGTCTATGTGAGGATGTTAGATGCCCTGGAACTGGAGGTATAGACAGTTGTGAGCCGCCATGTGGGTGCTAATTAGTTTTTGAGACAGGGTTTTTCACTGAACCTTGAGCTCCCCATTTCAGTTGGACTGGCTGAGTAGCAAGCCTCTGGAATCTGCCTGCCTCCCCTCCTCCTTGTGCTGGAGTTACAGACTCGAACTACCACAAAGGTGCCCTGATTTTATGTGGGTGCTAGGAGCTGAACTCAGGTCCTCATGCTGGCACAGCAAACACTTTACTCACCAAGCCATCTTTCCAGGCCCATAAAGCACTTAAACAAATGAAACAAAACAAACAAAGAAAAAACTCAACAAGTGTTTGATCAATACTTGCATTCACTAGTTAGGACTCCATAGGTTTTTAAAAGCCATAATCTTTCAAGATTAAGGTAAAAAACTTGCTGTCCAATCCCAATGACCCAAACTTAATTCCCAGAACCCACATAAATGTGGAAGGAGAAAACTAACTCCATGAAGTTGTCCTCTGACTGCCACAGGTATGCTGAGGCATGTATGTGCCTTTGTGCACACACATAGTTAAAAATTAAAAATTAATATATGTATAATATTTTTAATGAATTATTTCTATCTCAGTTTATTTAACTACAAAACACTATGGCCTCAGTAGCTGCCCAACAGAGTAAATGAAACAAAAAATTTAGAGTTACAAATATTTACATGAATCAAACAATACATTATAGAAATCATGTCTTCTATGTTTTCTCTGAAGTTAAGTCAATATATAATAAACAATACCTTAGCTTTTGGGGTAGCTTTAATTGTCCATATGCAATCAACTGCTTGCCCAGGCTTTGTTTTTTCTTCTTGTTCTACCTGGCTAGAACGTATTATTCCATCAGCTCCTGAGAGCTCAAACTGGCAATCTAGAAAAAAAAGAAAAGATATTCAAAGAAAAATAAAACTAATAAAAAATGTCACAGAAAGAAAGAGGTAATATACTAAACCTGGGATGGGATTTAAAATACCTCCAAGGTAAGTAAAGTCTGGATCTGCAACAGAAAAGAGAAGGAAGTCATTGGTACTGAGCATCTTTCAGACCTAACTTATGTCTAAAGCTTCACTACATAGCAACGTAAGAGGCATATCACTAGTAATTTGTGAGAATGTTTTCATTTAATGAAAATTTGTACACTTTTGATTTCATCATGCATGCTTTATGCTACTGAAAATATTAACTTTCAAATGTAGTAGCTAGTCTACTAACATATGGACAGAAAAATAAAATATGGTATATTTAATACAATGGGACACTATTTAGCCTTAAAAGGAATATATTTCCTTTGTGTTGAACTATAGTAAATGTATTCTAAAATGTTTGCTTCAATGGGTAGTGGTGATATTTGCAAAATAATATAAATATACTCAATGTTACCGACTTATAAATAGTTAATATTTAATCACAGTCAAATGTTCTTTTTAAAAATACTATACAGATGCCTCAACAATTATTTCTAAGTTAAAAGAGGAACCACAAATAAAAAACTGTATATGTAATCTGGAAAACCTAATTTATATACATGGTTTACTCCAAGTAAGAGGACACTCAATTCTTACAAATACTGTCTTTAATTGAAGGTACTCTAGAGAGTTAAAAAATTGCATATTGGAAAGCCGGGTGGTGGTGCCGCACGCCTTTAATCCCAGCACTCGGGAGGCAGAGGCAGGCGGATCTCTGTGAGTTCGAGGCCGGGCTGGACTGACAGCCTCCAAAACAATACAGAGAAACCCTGTCTCGTAAAACCAAAAAAAAAAAATTGCATATTGGAAATAAAATACTAGCTTAATTTCAGATATATTTCAGTGAGTATTCTTTTTTTTTTTTTTTTTTTTTTTTTGGTTTTTACGAGACAGGGTTTTTCTGTATTGTTTCGGAGGCTATCGGTCCAGCCTGGCCTCGAACGCACAAAGATCCGCCTGCCTCTGCCTCCCGAGTTCTGGGATTAAAGGCGTGCGCCACCACCACCCGGCTCAGTGAGTATTCTTTTAGCAGTCCATCACCTTAACCACGTGGCCACCTCGTCCCACGGGCGTTCTTTTAAAAGTAAAACTAAATTCATCCTTGTCATCCTTGTTTAAAGAGTCCACTAGTGAACACCAGCTCTTGCAAAAAAAAAAAAAAAAAAAAAATCAAAGCAGAATTAAAATCCTAAACTGTATTGGGGAAAAGGTATAAGATCTTTTTGGAAAATCAATCAGAATTATTTTTCTTCTGTTTTTAAGCATTTATGTATTTATAGAAAGGGTCTTTCTCTTTCTTCATAGCTTTGTCTATCCTGGAACTCACTATATAGACCAGGCAGTCCTTGAACTCACAAGTATATAGGGTGGCCTTAAACTCACTATGTTGTGTGTAATTGTAAATATGCCTTTAAAGAACATCAAAATAAGTACAGCTGTATTTTAGCCAATTATATCCCATACTAATTGTATGAATTTATTTCCTAAGTTTAAAAATAAAACTGGGGAATCCCTGTCCTACAGTAAAGAAGAAATATGACACAATAGAAAAAATAACCTAGGAAACTCAATCTTGTCCTGGTTTTTCTACTGAATAGAAAAATACCTAATTCCTAAAATTTCTTTAAAACAGGATATTATATAATCCTTATATGTTCATTAGTATAAAATTTAATATAATGAAGATTGTACCAGAAGCCCTCCCTATAAGGTACAAAGATAAAATATTCCAGAAATTCCAAACATTTTAACCTATTAACTGTATAAAATTTCTCACAATATGTAAAAAGAAAAAAACAAAACCACTTTTGTTTAAAGTGTGTGTCTTTACATATAAAGTAAATCAGGTGTATGTGTGGAGGCCATAGGACAACTTGCAGAAGTTAGCTCTCTCCTGCCACCTTGTGGGAGTCTGGGGATTAAATTCAGGTTGCTTGGGTTATATGCAAATACTTCTACTGGCTGGCTAAGCCATCTTTCCAGCTCTAAATTTGGTTATTTTAAAAAGGTTTTTAAAAAGAATATTAAAAACTGTGAATGGGATGTGGAGCTCGGTGGGGGGCATAGGAGGATGGAAAGGGAACTGGGATTGATATGTAAAATGAGATTGTTTCTAATTTAAGTAAATTGTACAAAACAACAACAAAAACTGTGCATGTGAGGCCAGAGGTCTACAGGTTTTGGCTGAACCAGTGGGTCAGAGTCTCTAGGGTTACAGGTGTGGGCCACCACACACAGTTTTTCATTTTTACATGGTTAAACATGGGAGTGTAGGCCTTCATGTGCATAGCAGTTTAACTACAGGAATATCTTTCCAGACCCTGAAAAACATGTTTTGTTGTCTATTTGTTTTTTTTTGTTGTTGTTGTTTCAAGAACTCTAGACTTGTAAAGATGTAACTCATATGTAAGATTTTATAATAGAATTTTATGATACTAATTGATTACTTCAGTTAATTTAGGCTATAAGCATTAAATACCTGACCTATTTAAACAAATCACGTATTTTGTTAAAAACGACTGATTCTCAAACTTCTGTGAACATCTTCACTGCACCTAGTCAGTCATCCTAATTACCCTCACCATTTTGAGAAAAACAAGTTGCCACATTTTACAAATAAAACATACCATATTAACTATGGTTTTTGAGCCAGAGTCTTGCATATAGCCCAGGCTGTCCTTAAGTGTGCCATCTTCCTCTCTCAACCTTCAGAGCAGCTGGATCATAAGTACGTGGCAGCACTCCTAGTTATGCTTTTTTTTTTTGGTGCACAGTCCAGTGGTTTTAGTACATTGACACAGTTGTTCAACAATTTTCACCATCAAAAAAGGAAAGTCTGACCTCATTAAAGTACTAACTTTCTACTTTTTATTTCTATGAATTTGTCTACTTGATATCGGAACACAGTCCGAGAATGGAGTCGTGTGAGAATTCTGAGTGCTTGTGAGAAACTCCAAGAAACCAAGACAAAAACAGAATTGTTCTTGGAATGTGTTTTTGTGCTCTCCCAGGAGTATCAGATAGGAGTGAGTTTACTTCAGCTGTGTTATTCATGTTTTTTGCCATGTGTGATTTGTCCTTGTAATTGAGTATCTTGCTCATGTGATTCTTCTTAACTCTCAGAGTGTAAATTGTCTGATTTCTGAATAAAATTGGCTATTGCATAGGACTTTAGTCCACTTCATTTTTAGGAACCCTATTTTCCAAGTTCATGCCATCAACCAGGGTGGAAAACAACTTTAGGTAACATATAATTGGATTGATACAACGTTTGTATTTTGTTTCTAAATAATTTTCATTAGCATTTATCACAATTCACCTTGAAGCCCTTATGGTAGAGAGAACTGATTCCTACAAGTTATCTACTAACCTCTACCCATGTACTGTGACAAACATATACAAATATACACAATAACTGTAACACACACACACACACACACACACACACACACACACACCACCTATCAAGTCATGGAAAACCCTTACATTCATATAATTAAAGGAAAGAAGTTGACCGAAGAACAAACAGTTCATGACATAGAAATGGGAAACTAATAGAGGCCAGTGGCTGTCAGCAGTTTAGGGGGAGGGAGGAATGTGCAGTGAGTGGAGCATATGGAATTTTTAGGCAGTAAAACCACTCTGATTTTAGTGGATACATACTATTTAACCAAACTCATTGAACATATAACACCAAGGGTGAACTATACTGTAAGCTAAAGACTGGGTAATTATGATGTACCCTTGTTGGCTTCCTGATTGTAACAAATACATCACTCTTTTGGCAAGATGGGATATAGGAGATCGGAAGGGTGTATCTGATAAGTACTTCTGCTCATTTTGCTGTGATTCTAAAATTGCTATTAAAGTCTATTAGACAAGTTTTACTGTTTGAAAATATTGTCCTTTCAGCATTAGAAAGATGATAACTGATACAAAAAGCTTCCATATAATGTTTATTGATTCAGATACAAAGTGGTTTGATTTTTAAGGAATAAAAAAGTTGGTAATAGAGCTGTATGCATAGCATGACCAGTTTTGTAAAAGCAAACTGAATAAAGAAATCCATTTTAAGAAGTAATTACCAAATTGTCAGCAATATTTTAAACATAAAGTGACAGGATTATAATTAGTTTCATTGTGTATTTTTCAATTAACAAGTTTCTTCTATAAAAACAAAACAAAAAGATTATACACTGGCTGCACAGGTTGTTTTTTCATCCTGTTATATTTGTAAACTCCTTGGGCACAATAACATACTGATTTCTGAGTTTCCACATTAGACACATGTACTTGTCACTGAGTAGAGCGTTAGAGTTCTCATAGCATCAGTGTTTTACCTACAAGTGCAGTAGTGCCCAGGTATACCCACATCCAAATCCCTGTGAACTTTACTTCTCATGGTTATAAAAAAAGCACATCAACAAGAATGTTAAGAAATGGATCACTGATTAAGAGCACGTGCTGCTCTTTTCAGGGAAAACTGGAGTTCTGTTCCCAAAACCCACAGGGCAGCTCACAACCACCTGTACCTAGCTTCAGGGGACATGATGCCCTCTTCTGGTCGCTGTGGGCACCCTGTGCATAAGTACATGCAGACAGAGACAGACACCAAAACAAAACCATGTATTACACAAATAAATAAAAATGAAAAAGAATTTTAAGAGAAGCTGTGAAGTCAGAAATTAGAGCACTATGGTCACAAATACAGAAATGCTGGATAGTCTTCCAGACATTGGAAGAAATAAACAGATCTAGCTGGGTGTGGTGATGCAAACCTTTAGTCTCAGCAGAAGTAGTCAGAGTTCAAGGCTAGCATGGTCTACATAGAGAGTTTGAGGACAACTTATAGCTTCAAAGAGAGACTGTCTCAACCTCCCACTCACACCCCCAACATTTCAAGATTCAGTTCCTAGAGGGAGTGAGGTTTTACTGGATTTTTGAATTTTCAGCTTCCAGAACTACCACAACACATATTCCTCTCTTTCTTTAAGTTACCAGAACTGTATTTATTAGTTATGTCAGATCCAGGAAATGAATACAGAAGGTATTACTACTTTACTATTGCTTAAACGTTAGTTACTAGATGGTAGAGAAAAGACTAGACCCAGATTGAGCCCTTTAAAATGCAGGTGCAGTGTTAATTCAATTGTTAAGTACTTTCTAAAGTATTGATGAATGGTTAATAAGTGCAATTAAAAAAATCTGCCATTGTGGAAATTGTGAAAAGACAATGGATTGAATTATTTAAAATTATACATTTATTTTGATGTTGGTCCTAAATGTGTTCCCTAAAAGATATTTAAGAAGAAAATGCAACTTTGCCTGGTCTCCCACAGAATTAGACTGGGAAGTGGTCTACTGCTCCCTATTTTAATCAGTTTTTCACATGTTCCTAGACTGATTTTCTTTTGACTTTGACAGTATCTTTAGTCTTTTTTTTTGTTTGTTTGTTTTTTACGAGACAGGGTTTCTCTGTATTGTTTTGGAGGCTATCGGTCCAGCCTGGCCTCGAACTCACAGAGATCCGCCTGCCTCTGCCTCCCGAGTGCTGGGATTAAAGGCGTGCGCCACCACCGCCCGGCTACAATGTCTTTAGTCTTAATCTGATTACCTTAATCAAATTATTCTTTTCTAACCTTAAGATTCTAAAATGAATGATATACTCAAATACTGAAAGGTATCTTATTTTTAAAGGACGCTTAATTTGTTACCTGGAATGAATGAGTATTTTGCTCGAAATCCTAGTCCTTCAAGTTCTTCATCAGAACTAAATTTAATCCACATGAATCTTCCTGTTGACCTAATTAGCGAAGGGCTTTTCATGCCACAGTAACGATCTATAAGAGGGGAGAAACCAAATGGCCCATCTCGAACTTCCAAGTGATCAAAGCGACATTCAAATGATGGCTCTATATAATAGCGTTCGTCAAAGGTCAGCTCTATCCGTTGACGAGGAGCAGCTATAAGGTAAGAGAAAGCAAATAGCACATGAACAAGACATACATGTATGGACAAGCAAATCCATCAGCTGAGCGCTTCACATCTGAGAATCTTACTGAGAACTGTATGTAAAGCCATAAGAAAAGCCCTTTCACACGGATAATCATGCTATGTCATAGAATTTGAGTAACATTTCCCTAAGGAATATGTAATTTTTAATTTAGTTAAATATACTTGGTTGACTAAAATTAGAAGAGGTGAAAGGTTAATTCTTGTTTATTCCATAAAAAAATGTGCCACATGTAGTGTATCATATGTGATATAGAGAAAAACAAAGGAACTCAGCATGAACAGAAAGCTTAGCAAGGCATGCCAGTGAACTTATATTCCTTATCAGGGAAGTTTCCCAGTGGCACACTTAGTTGAGCTATATTTTAAACAATTACAAATTCCCATTAAAATTAAGTATCAATATTTACAATATTTATCTTTATTATAATTTACTTCAAACACATTTAAATTTTGTTCAAACTGGTTTAAACAAGGTATTTAGCTAATGTTCTCAGTTTTATAGTGAAGTAAAAGTTTATCCAAGAAAAGACAAGAGATTTGTCAAATACCTTCCAAAATATAGATGCACTCCTTGTTTGGTGGATATGAGTCAGGATAATTTGGTGAAGCAAAATGACCTCCATTGCTGGTTCGAACCCAAATGCCACACTGGGTTGCAGGAATGTGCTTGATCCCAATACTCTGTCCATCTTGAACAGAATTTTAAATATCATTTCAGTAAAACATAATAAGAATTATTTTTCCCCCACACTCTGTTGCATATATAACTTCATAAGAACCACTGCCAAATTTAGTATAACTGACTACAGCAGAAGGGCGAGAAAGCTTTTGTTTGTTATCCTTATTCGGAAGGCCTGATAGTACACACCTGCCATCGAGTTGGACAACCTGAGTTTGATTCTTGAAGTCATACAGTGGAAGGAGAGAACTTGAAAGCTGTCCTCTGACCTCCACACCCTTGTGCAGTGGCTCACTTCTGTGGTGAAGGCAAAGCAGGATTGATGGACTAGGGACAACCAGATGCAGCTAAGGGTGAAAACAGCAACTTGAAAAGTGAGAGGCTGGAATGTTAATGAACTCAATGGTAGTCCCAGGTTTCTCTTACTTGGTCTCTTGAAGTAACAGAGACTCTGACAGGAAACAGAGACTTATATTTTGGAATCCAATTTCTATCTAAGAAAGGGTTAAGCATACAGATCAGAGAGTCCCAAATGTCAGTTCAAATCCAAGATAAGACTCAAAGTAAAACATCCTATCCATACCTACAGACAACTCATGATCAGCTTTTTAGTGCCCCTGTTAAGTATTAAGTACATATGCAAGGACAGCCAGGAATTTGAAGAAAGCTTCTAGTATGAAAAATGGGTTGGCACACATGGAATAAAGCAACCCTGAGTAAATAAAGCTTATGTAAGGAAATGAAAACAAACAATAAACCCAAGTTACCAACCAACAAGGAACAACAGGGTTTCAGGCACTTTCCCCAGAGACAGAAAAGCAAATATATTCATAAAACAAAAAGAAACACCTTCTTAAAAAAAAGATAGAAGCAAGCTCCACCAAACAGAGAAAATCAAAGAGTGAGAAAGTTTAGCGCAGAGGTACAATGCCTGCAGGTGTGTGTTAAGTTTTACTGGGCCGTATCAATGACCTCATTGCTGATTTTGGTTGCTTTCACACAACAAAAGAACTGGGCCACTGCTTCAGAGACAGGCTTACAGTGGCTTAAATATTTATTGGCTCTTTCCATACAAAGTTTTATAATTCCTATAATTCCTCAATAAAAATTGAGGAAGTCTCCCAGATTGAAACAAAAATATGTGTGAAAATATACAGAAATTAAATTTATATTTAATTCATTATATTGAATTTCATAATAAACTTTGTATGTTAACTTAAAAAAAAACCTAAGAAGACTGTAAGTAAATAGGAATTCCTGAAAAGACATAATAGAGAAAAGGAAGGAATTTTTTTTTTTTTTTTTTGGTTTTTCGAGACAGGGTTTCACTGTATTGTTTTGGAGGCTGTCCTGGAACTCGCTCTGTAGACCAGGCTGGCCTCGAACTCACAGAGATCCACCTGCCGCTGCCTCACGAGTGCTGGGATTAAAGGTGTGAGCCACCAACACCTGGGATTTTTTTATTATTAATCAATCATTTCCAGCCCAATCAGTTTTCCCTCCCCTCTTCCTCTCCTCCAAGTCCCTCCCCACTACCTCCTCGCCATCCACTCCTTTTCCCTTCCTGGGGAGGAAATTTTAAAAATTGAGCAAAAAACCAAAATATTCCTGAACCTATAGGCAAAATTCATATTGAAAAACTTTGATGAGTGGTTTAAATCCTGAGTACTGATTTTTGCTTTTATTTATTTATTTTTGATGAGATGGGTCTTGATGAACAGGCCAGTCAGACCAGCTTTGAATTTGTGATCCTCCTGCCTCAACCTCACAAGTGGCTGGGATTAAAGGCTTGCACTAAAGGCCTGGTTCTGAATGCTGATATGACCAGAATTACGGTACAATTCTATCTACAAGGATGGTCCAGCAGGAAAGAGGGAATCCTTATATTGAACAGTAGGTATATAAAGGAACTAAACTTTCATGTTTCATGGTGAGAGATTGTTGAAAACTGAAATGACCAAAAAACAGCAGCTATTTAAAGTGTGCTAATTAAAGAGTCTAAAGATAAAAAAAAGTGGCTATTTTGGGGTTAAGATGATTTAGAGCAGTGGTTCTCAATATTTCTAATGCTTCAATCCTTTAATACAGTTCCTCATGTTGTGATGACCCAACCATAAAATTATTATTATTATTATTATTATTATTATTATTATTTTGAGACAGGGTTTCTCTGTGTAGCCCTGGCTGTCCTGGAACTCACTCTATAGACCAGCCTGGCCTCACACTCAAGAGATATATCTGCCTCTGCCTCCTGAGTGCTGGGTTTAAAGAGGAGTGCTCAACCATCACCCAGCCATAAAATTATTTTCATTGCTACTTCATAACTGCAACTTTGCTACAGTTATGAATCATAATGAAAATTCTTTCTGGGACAGAGAGGCTTGGCAAAGGGGTTTCGACCCACAGGTTGAGAACCACTGGCCTGGAGGGTTAAAAGTTCATGCTTTGCAAGATGATGGCATGACTTCAGTCTCCCTAACAAAAGGTGTGGTAGGAGAGAACCCGTTTCCCAAAGCTGTCCTGCCACACAGATATGCGCTGTAGCATATGTGTGTCTATCTTTCCCCACACAAAATAAAGACAAAGTTTAAAGTGGTTTTCATAAAGCAGGGAAGAGGAAGAATAGAATGAAAAATAATTTCCCCAATTATTTAGTATACTTTGATTTTTTTAAACATGTGAACATATAACTTTGATGAAAAAAAAGTTGTACAGAAAATGCACTAAACTCTGACCTGAATTTTTTTTTAAATCACACTAGCTAATGTTCTCTAAAGTCAGACAACAGGACCAAAGGGCTTCGAACACTTCACTGAAAGACTTTGCTTGTTCACACTAGAAAACGCACTTTTTATTTTTCCTATTGATAAAACTGTAAGTTTCATTGAAATTTTGGATATAATTAACAGTGTATTAAAAGCTATTAGTGATGTTGGCTTTTAAAAAGTTTATCAGGACAAGCTTTGAGTAGACAAGTTAGCAGCTGATTCTGGTTAAATTGAGGTCCACAGGTTGACAGAAAGCTTTAGGTCATTGCTATACTCAATAGGGATGTGTTGGTTAGTATTTTTTTGTCAACTAAGCTAGTGTCATCTAAGAGGGCGGCTCAAATTTAAAAAATGCTTGTAGGCAAGTCTGGGGGGGTATTTCTTGAGTAATGATTGCTGTGGGATGGTCCAGCTCACTGTGGGTAGGACCTCCCTGGGCAGTTGGTCCTGAGTGCTGTAAGAAGGCAGGCTGAGCACGCCTTGGGGAACAAGCCAGGAAACAGCATCCTCCATAGCCTTGGCTTCAGTTCTTGCCTCCAGGACCCCACCCTGGCTCTTGCTCTGACTTCCCTTGATGATGGACTGTAGTGTGAAACTGTAAGCAAAATAAATCCTTTCCTCTCCCAAGCTGTTTTTGGTCATGGTATTTTATCACAGTTATAGAAAGCAAACTAAGACAAGGGATTATGAAAAAGTCGGAAGTCTTTCAAACTGATACATTACCTTGGGTCTTTTGGGCCACAGCAATCCCTTCTACTACAAGTACTGTTATTAGTAACACTAGAGAAAGAATAGAAAAGAACAGTTAAAAAGTTTAATTTATATTACATTTTATTAAAAGATTAATGACTAAAATTACTTTTTTGTTTGTTTGTCGAGACAGGGTATCTCTGTGTAGCTTTGTAGTCCAGGCTGGCCTTGAACTCACAGAGATCTGCCTGCCTCTGTCTCCAGAGTGCTGAGATTAAAGGCATGTGCCACCACTGCCTGGCTCTAAAATTACTTTTTAAACATGAGTTTTGTTGTGGAGGCCAAGCTGGCTTTGATCTCAAAATCTGCCTTTATCTTCCAAGTGCTAGGATTATAAACATGTGCCACCACACTTAGCTTAAAAATCACCATTTCTTATCAGCATTCACTACTGAGTCTTTGAAATACTAATTATTATGTCCTTGGGATGGTGAGAGAGCTGGTTCATTGGGTAAAGGTTCTTGCCACTGAGCCTGATAACCTGAGTTTGATTTTGGAATCCATATGGCAGAAGAATGACTTCTGAAAGTTGTCCTCTGACCTCTCATGAGTACTATGGTGGGAACGTGTAAAAGCTGGAACATGCAAACACACACTCACACACACATTCACAATGTACATAAGTGTTATTCTGATTTACTACCAAACAACCAAAGAAAAGCTGTAACTGATTTTCTACTTATTTATATAAGCACTAATAAATATTATGTGGCATTTAAAACTTTTCAATACGAAATAAGCCCATATATATGTATTGTGCAGGTTTTGGCTAAGCCTGACTACTCAATTTACTCCACCTGAAGTGTGTTTATGCATTGGCTAGGTGAGCAGTAGTTATACCAAAGCTCAACTGGATCACCTGACTTCCAGAAGTCAACTGAAACTGCTATTGTGAATCACTGTGCTGCAATTTGTGCTGTAACAGGAAGCCATACTTAGATACTATATTTCACTCCTCACCCTCAACCTAAGAAACAATATATTCTTTTTGTGTGTTTAAAAGGCATTTTTATGAGTGGTACCTTCTTCCATTCAGTGGAAAACATACTACCAGCCTGCCCCAAACTACTGTGTGACTGAAGTAGGTATTCATTTAATCAAATAGCTCTTCTCTACTGAAGGTAAAGACATGGCTAGAGAAATCAGCAAAATGCCTAACAGTATGGACTTCAGGAGGCAGCTGAATACAGGAGTTTAGATTTTGTCTTATACCAGAGTACTAGCTGTGAGGCTTTTAGCTTATTTTACTTATTTGAAAAATCAGGAAGATGTACTAATATTATGACACCAGTCTCAATGGTATGCATATCATATTTTATGTACCAAGCATTCTACCAAATTAATGGTAGACATTAGAACAATTAGCACCTTCCTAGAGCCAGTTGTCAAAGACTACTTGTAATACAGGTGAACAGAAAGATTTAAAGACTGAACAATGGAAACATGGAGAGGGGAAACTGATACTCATTTTTTTCTGAAGATAAAAGAACGGAGTGAGGAAAACATTTGGAAGTGAGGTTTATTCTGGCAGACCTAATTGGACCTGAACTCTTGAGGAAGAAATATGGTGGCATGGCAGGTTAGAAAAAGGCAGGATAAGACTGGAGAAAAATTCGTAAATGCCATGTTGATGAATTTGGACTCTCAGTTACAATAAAAGAAATCACTGTAGGCTTTTGTTTGTTTATTAATTGTGGTGTTAGGGAATGAATCCACAGCCTTGTGCATGCCAGCCAAGCACAGTAGCATTTAGACACATTTCTAGTTCCTCACTATAGGTTTTATTTTTTGATTTACTTTTTTGTTTACTTTGTAGACAAGATTTTATGTAGCCTTGGCTGGCTGGAACTGATTGATAGACCAGGCTGGCCTAGAATCCAGAGATCTGTTTGCCTCTGAATTCAGAGACAGGCTGGAATTAAAGGTACGCACCACCACACCCAGTCACATACTTTTGGTTTTAAGCCAAGAGAGTATATAACTGCATCTAAGTTTCAGACCAGTATTCCTAAAGGAGGATAAACTTATGAAAAACGTCATTTGAGAAGTAAAGTAATGGCGATTTACTGAAGTAGAGAAGTGACTGTGGAATTGGAAGGAGAGAGACTAATGACATGATTAAGACACAGAGTGAACTGCAATTTATAACTTACAAGATGTTAGGGGAGAGGGAAAAAGAGTGATTGAAGACTTTGCCAAATGACACAGAGAGAGTGAGTAACAGCACAGGTTTATTTAATGGCATGCCTTCAGTATCTATTAACAAGGCCATCAATGTATAAAGATATAGTTCTTGTCCATTAGTTTACAACTTAAAACCTAAGTATGTGACCTCTTCATCTTGGTTTCTTGAATCCTTATTAACCTTTGTCTCCTTTCAACTATTTGAACTGCCTTTCCCCTTTCAAAGATATTTACATGAATGATGCATTTTCCACCAACCTGCTCCAAACTACTGTGCGACCTGAAGTAGGTATTGAACTTTCAATTATAACAACAACAACACTGTAGGCTTTTGTCTGATTAGAGATCCCATATCAAAATGAACAATCCTTTTATTCTTTTAAAATTCCCATTTTAGGTGTGGTGGGGTATGCCTTTAATCCCAGCACACAAGAGTCAAAGGCAGATGGTTTCAGTGAGTTCTAGGACAGCCAGGGTTACACTGTGAGATCCTATCTCAAAACAGCAAAGCAAAGCAAAACAAAACACTTCCCATCTTTATACTGGAACCAAGTTAGAGAAACAGAGCTTGGAACTTAAAAACAGTAATCACAACAAAATTAGAAGATTTATGATTAAAAAAAAAACAAAGCAAAACTCCTTGTTCCAAAACATTAGGGATTTGAAATTCAGCAAGTAAAACATCCATTTCTGTCAGTTATCCTCTCAGAGGAATCTATCTCCCACAGTCTATCATTCAGATGACACACAACTGCTCAAAATTTTTGTTTATGTTCTTTTCTTTCATAAATCCCAGGTACAATTATTTATCAGTTTTCAAATTTATAACGCATAGCTTTAAAGCAAGTGACACAAAGACAATGGTCATGGTAAGAAATCAACAAACGGGCTGGAGAGGTGGTTCAGGGGTAAAAGTACATAATGCTCTTGCAGGGAAGCTGGGATTAAGTTCCCGGCACCCCATGGTGGCTCAAAATGCTCTGCAACTCCAGCCCCAGTGGCTCTGACACCCTCTTCTGGTCTCCAAGGGCACCAGGCACACATGTGGTGGACATACATATATGCAGGTAACACACTTATAAATGTAAAATAAAAATAAATAATCTTAAAAAAGTCAACAAACAGAAGCAGGAGATCAATAGTACAACTATGATTAAAAAACTGTCAGAAAATTAAAAACATAGTAGGCTATAAACACTTATACACATACAATAAAATTTAAAAACAAATGGTTCTGGGATAGCACATTAATCATAGAAATAGCTGGGCAGTGATGGCGCACGCCTTTAATCCCAGCATATGGGAGGCAGAGGCAGGCGGATCTCTGAGGCCAGCCTGGTCTATAGAATGAGTTTCAGGACAGTCAGGGCTAAACAGAGAAACCTTGTCCTGAAAAACAAAAACAAAAACAAAACCCCCAAAATCAGACCAAACCAAAAGTAAGTCCCAGATTTGGATGTGTGTGATTAATTTCAATAAAGACAAAAACAAATATTTTTTTTGCAAATTTTATTAAAAACATATATATACTTACTTTACATGCACATGGGAAAAATGGTTGTACCATTTGCAATCTGTACCAAAATGTAAAACCAAAAATAAATCCAGTTTTATTAATATTAAACAATATAGATCTGGGGCTATGGTGATGGTTTAGAGGTTAACAACAGTTGCTGTTCTTCCAGAAGACACGAGTTTGCAGCATTCTCACAGGTCCTTACAGTTTCCTTGGACTTCTGCACACATATGGCACACATTCTCTCTGTCTCTCTCACAACATTTACTCTAATAAATATTTAAATAAAAACATAGTTTTTAATGAAAACAAAAAAATCACTAGGAAAAAATTTAAGGCAAAAAGAGACATTCATCAAGTAGTTTCCAAACTGGGGTGATAGAGCCATCGGCATAAACTGCTAGTGTGATCCAAATGAACAAAGAAGACTTGGCTTATTTAAAGTTCCTGGCCAAGTATTGCTACTGTATTTAAAGTTTAAGGCTGGGTGTGGTGGTGTACACCTTGTTGTAGTTTGAATGTAATTGGCCCCCATAAGCTCATAGGGAGTGGTACTATTAGGAGGCGTGGCTTTGTGTGGAGTGGGTATGGACTTGGTGGAGGATGTGTGTCACTGTGGAAACAGGCTTTGAGGTTTCATATAGGCTCAACCAATGCCCAGTGAGACAGACCACTTTCTGCTGCCTATGAGTCAAGATGTAAGAACTCTCAGCATTTTTTCTAGCACCATGTCTGCCTGCAGGCTGCCTTGCTTTCCTCCATGACTATGATGGACTAAACCTTTGAACTGTAAGTGAGTCACCACAATCAAATGTCTTCCTTTCTAGGAGTTGTCATGGTCATGGTGTCTCTTCACAACAACAGGAACCCTAAGCACTGTAACCCCAGTACTCAGGAGGCAGAGACAGGAGGATCTCTGTGAGTTCCACTCCAGCCTGGTCTACATAGGCCATATAGAGCTAGAGGGAGACCCTCTCTCAAAAGGGAACCATCAACCAAACAAACAAAACAAAATGCACTTTACTGTAGGTCATGTAGCTCATTGGTTAGGTTTGTTTATCTGGGCAGCTGAAATAGGAGTATGACTAGGCATGGGATCCCAAAAGTTCAGCTTGCTATTTCTCCATGAAAATAGTACACATGTGACACCAATCCACCCTTCCACCAGCAAACTGTTACCAGACTCTTCTTGGAGCCGGCTGCCAGTGAGGGCATCGAGTCACCTGTTAGACCTCGAAAATCTCTTAGGTTAATTGAATTTTGGTTTCCTGTTGGAATGAGTCCAGAGTCTTAGAGGTTTTAACATTGTCCCGAGTCTGGTGATAGTCTC